CCTCCCCCCTCCTTCCTTCCACCTCTCCCCCCTCCCTCTTCCCCTTCTCCTCCTCGCACCACCTTCTCTCCACGTTTTCCCCCTCCTCCTTCCTTCCACCTCTCTCATTCCTCCTCGCTCCTCCTCCTTCCTTCTCCTCCTCTACGTCCCTCTCACTCCTCTCCTCCTTCCCCCTCCTCCTCCTCCTCCTCCTCTCCTCCTCCTCCTTCTCCTCCACCTTCTCCCCCCTCCTCCTCCTCCTCCATCTTTTCCCCCCTCCTCATCCTCCACCACGTTCTCCCCCGTCCTCCCCCTCCTTCCTCCTCCTCCTCCTCCTCCTCCCTCCTCCTCCTCCACCTCCTCTCCTCCTCCTCCTCCACCTCCATCCCTCTCTCCTCCTCCTTCCACCACCTCCCCACCTTCTTCCCCCTCCTCTCCACCACCTTCTTCCCTTCCTCCTCGACCTCCAGCCTGTAATCACTGTTCAACAATGGATAATAAACACCAATGTGAGTTACAATGTCGGGGGGGTAATTTGTCCGGGGGTAATGTCCGGGTAATTGTCCGGGGGTGTAAATGTGCGGCGGGGTTGAATGTCCGGGGGTAAAATGTCCGGGGGGTAAGTTGCCGGGAGTGTAAATGTCGGGCGGGGTGATTGTCGGGGGTGTGAATGGCATTGGGGAGTAAATGGCTCTCTGGGCGGTAATTGTCCGGGGGCGTAAAATGTACCGGGGCGGTATTGTCCGGGGCGGTAATTGTCCGGTCGGGTAAATGTCCCGCTCCCCCCCGGGAGTAATTGTCCGGGGGAATGTCCGCGGGGGCTAATGTCCGGGGGTAAATGGTCCGGGGGGTAATTGTCCGGGGGGAAATGTCCGGCGGGGGTAATGTCCGGGGAGTGAAAATGTCGGGGGCTAATTGTTCCGGGGGGTAAATAGTCCGGGGGTAATTGTCCGGGGGGTAAATGGATGCGGGGTAAATGCATGGGGGTATTGTCCGCGGAGGTAATTGTCCGGGGGGGTGATTGTCCGGGGTATTTGTCCTAGAACCATATATACATACATATATTATCTTACAGCTCTTACAAAAGCTAATTATTTGTTATTACAGAAATGGTGTGTTATTACCGAATGAAACTGTCGTTTTTACAAACATGGTTACAGCATAAATGACTGGTCGTGATTCCACCGCTACGCCAGCATGCTCCGTATATCGCTGCTCGGGCGGTGAGTTACCTCTATAGCACTAGATGTTAACAAAATTAAGGCCCTCTACACTAACCCTGTAGCATCTTCCTTAGCATAGGCACTGATTTCTTTTGGCTAACTAGGCGGCCCGTCAGTATAGCTACGTCAATAAAGAAGTGAGGCAGTCAGTTTTACGAGGTATATGCGGCAACGAATCGCTATAATCGCTACGGGTAAATGGGATTTGCTTTTGAACTGAGAGAACTTAATTTAACTGCACCACCATCGCGAAGCACGTTCGGATGGACCATGCCAGCAGCCGACCGCCATCAGGCTTAAGTAAATAACCAGAAATAAGCAGGAGCCATGGGGCAATGGCAGCAGTAGCAGCAGCGCTAGCTGCGTCAACAGTAGCAACAGCAGAACCACAACTAGCAGCAATAGCAGCAGCAGCACCACCAGCAGCAGCAGCAGTAGCAGCAATAGCAGCAGCAGCACCACCAGCAGCAGCAGCATCACAACCACCAGCAACGGTAGCAGTCATGGCAGCAGTAGTAGCAGCAGTAGCAGCCGCATCATCATAATCATCATCAGCAGCAGCAGCAACAGCAGTAGCAGCAGCAACAGCAGTAGTAGTAGCAGCAGCAGCTGCAGCAGCACCACCACCAGCAGCAGCAGGAGCAGCAGCGTAGCAGTAGCAGCAGAAGCAGCAGCAGACATGAAGAGATGAGAGGCGCCGACTGGTCAGATGGCTTTCCATCACGTATCCGAACCGATCATTTTACGCATCGCTAAACATTAAGCTGGCTCTTTAGCCATTATATTATACACACCTATGAATCACGCAGTGTGTTATTGTGTGTTGCTGCTGCTGCTGCTGCTGCTGCTGCTGCTGCTATACCATTCATTTCATCACGCGCGCACATACGTACTTACACAGGCGCGTTTCATTGTAGCGCCGCGGTGATATAAAATAGGTGTAATTGTATAACGACATTAACTCAGACTTGTGTCCGTACAGAATTAAATATACAGCGCCAGCCGTATGTTAGCAATAAACCGGCATACCCACCCGCTCGAGCTTAGCGAGCCAGACAAGCATATGGTGCACGTACTTGCGTGACACAGAAAACGGGGGTTACGCAAGAGAGAGAGAGAGAGAGGGAGAGAGAAAAGAAAGAGAGAGGAAGAAGGGAGAGTTTGATAGGGGAAAGCAAGAGACGGGGAAGAGGAGGAAAACAAGGAAAGAGGGCGCGAAAGAGGGGGTGCAGAGGTAGAGGCAGACACACACACACTCTCTCTCTCACACACACACGCACAAACACACACACACACACACACACACACACACACACACACACACCACGCACGCACGCACGCACGCACGCACGCACGTACACACACACACACACACGCACGCCTACGCACCGCCCACACACACACACACAACACACACGCCGGGAGACCAGACAGACAGGAAGAAAGAGAGAGAGGAAAAGAGAGAGAGAGAAAGAGAGAGAGAGAGGAGAGAGAAAGAGCGACAGGGACAGAAACACATGCATAACAAGAGAGAATTAAGGGAACAGATCGTGAGAGAGAAACTTAGAGCCCGGCAAGAATTATCGTTGAGAGATTTCCAGTTCCATCACGCCGCCAGCGGCATACATGACGTCAGCGTCGCAGTATGCTAGCTGTGTACGGTACCGTCACAATGCGTGCCAAAACATGCAAAGACTATATTTAAACATATCATTAAAATTTATGCTGACACTCCCTGTACATTATTTAAAAAAAAACTAGTTTTGTGTTATCCCCCGTGCTGATATGCTTGGTTTGTAAAATCCTTGGCAAACTCACTATGTGAACATGCATACAGATCGAGTAAATCTACTTTGTACACTCAATGAGCAATATATATAGCTCAATAGGTCAGTAACCATCCTAAAACCTGATCCTCACAGGCAGTCGCTCTCTGTTTGTGTTTGTATTTCTTAATTGTCAGCTAAGCCTTTCTCGGTTAGCCACGGCGATAATAACACACGTTAAACCACCTTCATATATATGTGCACACGCACGCGTGCACAGGCACTTGGAGCGTTTCAATAAAATATAATGCTAAATAAATACGAAATCTATTTACTACCAACGTCTTAATGTTTCCCTACTCTCTTTCACCTATTATTGCCGACAATTTCTTGTAAATGCCGTCCAAATGCTCATCTGCAACACACTGTCACACGTACGCTGGCCGCCGCACGCTAGCTACTGCACACTGACACATAAATATAAATAAAATAACTATATATTTATGTGTCGGTGTGCAGCAGCTAGCGTGCGGTGTAGGCCTCCTTGTGTGTTGCAGATGAGCATTTGACCGGCATTTACAGGTAATTATAGGCGAAATAGAGTAGAGAAACATTAAGACTTTGGTAGTAAATACATTTCGTGTTTATTTACCTTTTTTTATTGAGACGTTCCAAGTGCCTGTGCACGCGAGTGCTGTGAATCTACACGTGCATTCGCGTATATTCGAAATGTAAGTTTGCTAGATTGCGAAAATATTTTGTTTGCTTAACGGGATACAGAGACGATAAACACATATACTCGTAGCCTATATGATAAAAGGTTATTGCCGTCTCAAGTCACGATGCCTAACATTCAGAAATCATTTCAATGGTAACACCACGTATACGCACGTCTACAAGCTACCATGATGAATGTTTCTTCTAGTGGATTTACACACAGAGGCTATTAATATATGCCGTGGAAGTGACCTATACATACGTACATGGCGCTTGTGTGTGAGCCCACAGCTACAGCCTAACCATACAGCTTGCACGAGATGCTGAGATCATCTGATCAGGGTACACAACTGGTGGAACTCCACACTTCTGTATACATACGCCCTGCGCCGAATCACGACCCCCGCATTCCGCGCCACAAGGTAGTACCTACTATCACATACGGCGTATGAATGAAACACCAGCGACGGGAAGGATACGACGATAGCCTGCTCCTGGCCTCCTAATCCTGGAACTATACGGGGGACCATTTTCTAGTGCGATACAAAAACCCGCTCATAGGTTGCGCCGGAGACCACATACGTATTACTTAAAGGAGATGAGTTCCCCTTTGGTACCTGGGATCTAGGGTCCCTATATACAGAGAGTTGCGCCATGACGAGTCGGAAAAAATCGGTCACGTGGTCGCTGGACGACATGTTGTTTCCAAATGGATACGCACGGCTATGGCTGTAAGAAAGTGTACAATTAAATTGTCATATAGAGCGAACGATTTGAGTTACATTTCTAGAAATCTATACACATAGACACATGTTTTAGCTATAATCTCTGTAAATTTTGAGTTTATTGAAGCACGATTAGTCTAATTAATTACTACGGACCATTGTACAGCGTATCCATACAGCGCTGTACTTAAGCGGCAGCGGTGTCGCCAGAAGGGGTGAGTGATCCATTGGGAGAACAGGAACAGTCGGTGTGCGTCTACATGCGGGTGTAGTGATGTTGGGCCGACACATTTCTCATGTATATGGTACCACTTCGACGATCGGTGGCAAATCAACCGTATCATCATTGACAGCGCTGGGGAGTAGGGCTAAAAAAAACGGCAGATTGTATTTGATGTGTACGCGTACGCTTTGAAGAGTTTTGATGAAATGATCCTTTCTTTCGTCTTTTTATTTTAGAAAGGGGTCAGAATTGTTAATTCATAAACTAGATCTTTTTCTGAAATCTACAGTTTTTTGAGTGAAGAAGAAGTATGGATACGATCTGTTTTGTTGGTTGGGGATGTAACTGGCTTCTTGAGTGTCCGGAG